CAGTGTGAGCAAGGGGTAACTAACCCTGGAGTGTTTATGAATGGACAGTGGCGCCCTCAAGTGGTCGGCAGTAACACTACAACACTATGAGATATTTCTTTTAAAGATGTTATCAATGATTAGGATGGTACAATTTAAATATAAATAACCATTAATTAACATTTAAAGGGAGTCGATCATTTGTTTACGCCCTTAAAACGCACCAAACTTTTCAGATTCTTTTTCAAAATATGGCTTCAATTTCCTTTGACGTCTGCTCTAGCATAAAATCACATAAGATCTGCTACAATTCAACTGAATATGGAAAAGTCTTAATAAGTTTGAATATTTTTGCAGGGCAGTGTTTATTTGTTTCTCTTTTTGCCCGCTTCTGACTCATGGTTTTTTGTCCTGACATGCCCCCAGGTGCGTTTCGGGCAGCAGAAGCGGTACCAGGACTGGTTTCAGAGACAGTACCTGTCCACAGCAGAGAGCCAGTCGCTGCGCTGCGACCTGATCCGATACATCTGTGGCGTCGTCCATCCCTCCAATGAGGTGCTGAGCTCCGATATCTTGCCACGCTGGGCTATCATTGGCTGGCTGCTCACCACCTGCACAGTAAGATGGCTTGTCCCCAGGCTCTGTGTGAAAGTGACAGTTATATAAACAGGCTAGCTTGTAATCAGATTGTTTGCTTTTCTGCAGTCGAATGTGGCTGCTTCCAATGCCAAGCTGGCTCTGTTTTACGACTGGTTGTTCTTCAACCCAGAAAAAGACAGCATCATGAATATAGGTAAGAATAAACTGGAGGTCATGCTCTGTTCCAGGGTCATCACAACACGCTATGCTACAGGATACATTTATCTGCAGATCGCTCTGTTTCTTCTCACACATGGAGATTTAAGGCAGGTTTCTCCAAGTCCAAATGTTCTTATTCATTAATTCATATTTACGCTTCCAGTATTGGCTTATGAACAGCATCGCATTACTAAAAGAGACAAAGGAGCTCCTTCCAGACAGCGGCTTGTTTCTCCGATAAGAGGCACTAATCAGAGATCTCCTGACCAATGCCGACTTTAGGTTTTTCCTGAGGGTCTGACCAACTGGAGCTCCATCATATAAACTATTTAATGTTCTGCAGATTGTTTAATATAGGTTGCAGTTTTGGATCCAAATAATTGTTAAATTATTATTCCTAGCTACGCATCAAAGCATACTGTTACCATCCTTTGTCTTATTTTAGTAAATGCTGCTGGGTGATTCATTCTGTTATGGAAATGTTGATTATCTAGAAGTGAGACATTGTTTGAGGAAACAAAAAGAGAAGATCAATCTTGTCTTTGCAAGTTTATTCAAAGGTAAATAACGTTCAGAACCACACTTCACTTCAGAGGAGTCATTGAATGTGCTCCGAGCAAAAAGTAATCACATCCTTTATAGCCCTGCAGTACATAGCAGAACAGTGATGAGAAACAGATGTGAAAAGGGTAAAACAAAGCAACCTTTAGGAGATTTCTCCTATCTTGGCACCAGAGTAATAAATCTGACACCATATATCTTAAAAGCAACAAGATAAGGTTTAAAGGGTCCTGAAAAGCATTCATTCAAAGTGAGGCCACCAACTAAAACATACAATTTCTTTCTACTAGGTAAGAATATTTTTAGCCATGCACAAAATTTCCAGATGGTTCATTTACCAAAGATGTCGGAATATGGTAGTTTTATGTATTTAAGAAATATGATTATATTAATCTGATATTCAGTATTTGACTCACAGATTACTCAAACAGTCCATTTACTCTGGTTATTCCTCAGAACGATATCTTTGTAAAGATAATGTGATAAATTGAGTGTTGAAGGTTGCGAATTCCTGGATTCTGCATAAATTATAAAAATATGTTTGGGAAGTGCCAAAAGATTTCTAACTAAAATGTTTTGCTGTATTTATTACTGTTACTTATAAACAAGTTAAATTAAACTCTATTCTTTAGTGATGATTTTTAAGGTAAAGTCCATAACTTAATTAAATCAAATAGCAGAGCTGAAAACACTGGTTTAAATTTCTATTTAGTTTTGGTGGGCTTTTTTTTTTTTTTTTTTTTTTTTCTTTTCTTTAGTCAGTCTTAAAATAAAACTGCAAACAACATCAGCCGGAGACTGACTGAAGGCGTACAGGTAGAAGCACAATTACCCATTTTTGTCGGTTCTGCACATTAAATTGAACTACCCATCTGCACTCATATTAAATTAAAAATAAACTATTTCAAAATTGACTTAAAGAAAGAAATCAATAGATGAAGAAAAAAAGAACTACAAAAGCACTTAGAGAGTGCAGACCTCCACCAAGCAGCAAATCCTGTCCCATATTATGATTTCCAACCAACAGATAAATGTGACACATGATCTGGATCATTACCAAATTTTAATGAGTTCTTCTTTGACATTTGAGGCACCTCTGATTATTTTTTTTTTTAAATAGGTTCATAGCTCTTGAAGTAATCCTGCTAACAAACAAACCAGCCAACATGCTTCTGCATGGCTGCCCTGACAGAGGCACAGCATGATCTGCAGCCTCTGGTGTTTGTGCTGCTCTTACCTTCTTCATTTACTCTGCTTTCTTCTTTGATTAAGCGAAGCATAGCTCTTCTTGTGTTTTTGTCTTCAGTTTACATAATAATTCTGGACTTTTTAAGTCCAATTCTGAAGCCGTCAATATTCACTGCTGCCCCCCACTGGTTTAGTGTGGAACTGCTTGCTCTGCCAAAAAATGTTGAATCTTTTAAGAAATACTGTTATCTAGATTATGATCTGGAGCACCATCATAATTTAATGGATTAAGGGGGAACACTTCTGATATAAATTCCATTAAAATCCGTTCAAACCTTTTAAAGTGATCCTACTAAGGGACAAACACGACTGAAAACATAACCTTTCTCCTGAAGATCAAGACCAGATGAAAGGTTTTTAACCCTAAAATATTATCACTCCCTAAAAATTTTTTTTTTTTCTTGAACCCACACTTGGTTCATTCCATAATTTAACACTATCACCAGAAACAGAACTAATTTTAAAATCGTTTCTAGCCTGTTTAGTAGTTTAACAAAAAATTTAAATTTAAATTAATTTAGTGTAAAAAATATTTTTGAAAATGACAGTAAGTATATTTATTGTTTCTCAACCTAATTTTCTTCATTCTGTAAGTAACAAAAGCATACAAATTAATGTCATTATAATTTTACAAACAGTGGATTAATGAGTTAGTTTACAAAATTTAAAAAAACAGCAGCCTTATTTATTTGTTTATGTTATAAGGTTAGTTATGGATAGAATAGATAGAAGTCTTTTAAGTTTGAACAAATTTTACATTTAACACAGTAAAATCTGCAGAAACCCTTAGTTTCTAACCAGATGTATTTTCTGCTCCTCTCTGGTTGACCTGTCTGCCTGAACAAAATTGGAAAACTCACCTGTTAAGCTAATTTTCTTTCTGTATTTCAGAACCAGCTATCTTAGTGATGCATCACTCCATGAAGCCTCATCCTGCCATCACCGCCACTCTGTTGGACTTCATGTGCAGGGTAATATGCAGCCAGAGTGCAAAAATACACAGCCAACTCTTAACGTTTCCATGAGTAACACAGTCCTCTTTGATTCCTCAGATCATCCCTCACTTCTTTCCTCCGCTGGAGTCTCAGGTCCGTCAGGGCGTGTTCAATTCACTCAACTTTATCATGGAGAAGAGGGTGCTGGCGTAAGAACGACATCACAATCAGCATTGTGTTTTTAAAACATCTACACCTTATTTTCTCTCATTGGTTAGTAATTTTAATAATTTTTTATCCATCTCTGTCTCAGTCACCTTGCTCCACTGTTTGATAACCCGAAACTGGACCGAGAGCTCAGATCAATGCTTAGAGAACGGTTCCCCGAATTTTGCAGCCCGCCATCCCCTCCCACTGAAGGTAGCACATGCAAACACTCAAACCACCTTATACACAGATTTCTAACCTTTTCACAAAAGAACCTGAGCAAACGCCTGCAGCTAAAACTTGAAAAAATGAATGTTTCTGTGTCCTGCAGTGAAGATGGAGGAGGCTGCTTCCATGGACATGGACAACCACGTCCTGGACAAGGAGGAGGGTTGTTATGACCACACGGAAGCTGCTTTCAGCGACGACGAGGAGGAAGTCAACAATAAAGGTAGGAAAAAAGAACCACAGGCTGTTTGATTAGAACTTCATCCAAACCAGTTAAGTCCACTTGATTTTGTAATTTGTGGAACCATTTCAAACCAGTTAAACTGGTTCAGTCCAGTTCAACCCAGTAGCTTTGAGATATGCACCAATCAAACTGTTTTACAGCTGCAGATGTTCCAGGTGTTTCTATGCTTACCTTGTTATTTAAGCATCACATCAATCTAACCGTTGACCAATCACTGTGCAGGAAAGAAGAGGGAGTTCCGGTTCCACCCAATCAAAGAGGCCGTGGTGGAGGAGCCCGCCGATATCACGCCCTGGCTCGACCAATTAGACGACACCATGAAGGAGAAGGTGCAGCAGATTCAGAAGACGAGGTGAGATCACAACAGAACCTTTTGATCCAGGTTGAAAGTGCCACTCCCACCTCAATGATCAGGTTTATGACCGACTTTCCTCTTCTCAGTGACACGGAGACCCAGTGTGAGGTGATGCAGGAGATCGTGGATCTTATCCTGGAGGTCAGTTACTTCCACATGGAGTAGAAACCTGGAAATTGAAAAAAAAATTAAACATGAAGCACAAAAAGCAAGTCGAATTAGATCAATATTAGAACAGAGATGAGAATTAAAGCATCTTTATCAGGAATGAATCCAGCTGCTTCTTAAAGGTATAAAAACTATTTATGTAAACACAAAAGAACATAAATGACCAGCTAGATTTCAGCTGCTGATATTATTTTAGGAGATTAAATTATAAAATTCAAGCTTGATTCTAAATTTGCTTACTTTGTACCCAAAATATACATTGTTCTGTCTTCACTTCCTTATATTTTTTTATATCAATGAATAATCTTTGTGAAATGAATATTTTCCTGTTTTTCAGGACGACTTTGACACAGAGCAGATGTCTGCTCTGGCTTCCTGCCTGGCTGAACTGTTTAAAGATCACTTCAGAGGGGAGGTCCTCCCTGAGGAGATCACTGAGGAGTAAGGCGTCATTTCTGCTGCTCACCGCCCGCTGTGTCTGCGTGACAACCACCCTGTCTGACGTTTGTGTTCCTGTCTGCAGGTCTCTGGAAGAGTCTGTGTGCAAACCCGTCTGCCTGATCTTCAGGAACCTGGTCACCATGCAGGAGGACAACAGCGGCTTCTCAGTGCTGCTGGACATGTTGGCAGAACTTTACCAGAAGCAGCCAAAGATTGGGTACCACCTGCTGTACTACCTGAAAGCCAGGTGTGTAGCATCAGAGCTGGAGATCCATAAGTCAGATTTATGTTGCTGAGAGCAGTTTTATTCCAGATTTATCTTTTAAACTAATTGATAATATCATTTAAATATATTTTTGAAGTCTTCCTGCTGTGAGTGGTTATTGATTATTGATCTAATGTCACCCTGCATGTTTGAAAGAGGTGTCGACATAAGATGGGTTCATTTATGCTGGTAAATACAAAGTCGTTCCAGTCTGACTGTTCCCCCTCAGATCATCTCTGTTAATGTAACACCTGTAAACATCTGTGTGTGCCAACAGCAAAGCGGCGAATGGCAAGATGATGCTGTACGAGTCGTTTGCTCAAGCCACGGCCCTCGGTGACCTGCACACGTGTTTAATGATGGACATGAAGGCGTGTCAGGAGGACGACATCAGGTTGCTCTGCTACCTCACACCGTCCATTTACTCTGAGGTAAACACAGAGAAATAGTTCAGCACTGAAAGGGATTTCAAACATACTGTTACCAGATTGGAAAATTGGATTTTCCCATTGAAACTATACATTCAAATCATTCCCATAACTTTTCCTTCCTTCCTTCCTTCCTTCCTTCCTTCCTTCCTTCCTTCCTCCACTCCCCACCCCCACATGTTAATCCATCTGTTGTCCGTTAGACTCAGATCACAGCCTGACTAAAGCTTTTTGTTTAGTTTCCAGATGAAACGCTACGAAGCGGCGAACTGCTCAACATGATTGTAGCTGTTATTGACTCCATGCAGGTAACACCCACCGGTTCCCATTACAGTGTTTTTGGTTGTTTTTTCTACCATTCTTTCCAACTAACCTGGATTTCGCCTCTCTGTGTTCAGTTACAGGAGCTGATGTGTCATGTAATGATGGGTGACCTGGTGATGTTCCGGAAAGACTCTGTTCTAAACATCCTCAGTAAGATTAAGAGTTAGTTTGTTCTCCATCATGGCCTTTGGGCTCCAGCTTGTCTACATGTTCTGTTTCTTCCATCTCCAGTCCAGTCTCTGGAATGGGAAACCTTTGAACAGTACAGCACTTGGCAGCTCTTCTTGGCCCACAGCATCCCCCTGGAAACCATTATCCCCATCCTTCAGCACCTCAAGTACAAAGGTGGCTACAGGAACATTATCATCCTGGGCAACAACTGTAAGCCTAAGAGTGGTTTTACTAACCTTGGTTTTTCCCCCCCTTTTTCAGAACATCCAGAGGCTTTGTCCTGTTTGCTGTTGCAGCTTCGCAGAGAAAAGTAAGATAAAAAACAAACAACTCTCACCTTATGTGACGTTGCCAGCTGCCTGACTTAATGTCTCCATCCGTATTCTCTACCTTAAGGCCAAGTGAGGAAATGGTAAAGATGGTCTTGAGTCGACCGTGTCACCCCGATGACCAGTTCACCACCAGCATCCTTCGACACTGGGCGTCAAAATACGACGACACGCTGGGAGAACACATCAAAGCTCAGCTGATCAAGAACAACAACCAGCCCCGCAAGAGACAGAGGTGGGGACAAATACAGAGGTCTTCAAACCCTGGGGTTGAATTATATTAACGCAAAGGAGTCAATATTTATCAATTAAACATGAAATGAAACAACTTTCATCAAGTTTATAGTAGCATATTTTTACAGTTTTGAAAAAAAAAATAGAGGCTTTTGTGCTTTCTGTACAGGATAGATGAACATCAGTCTTTAGGTTCAGTCAGATTTAGGTGTGGACTTTGACTAGACCATTCTAATAAACGAGTATGCGTAGATCTAAACAATCCCAGTGTGTGTCTTTCTGTATTACAGTAAAAAAGTTTCCTCTCGGTCTGTCTTCAGTCTTCGTAGTTCGAGCAGTAAACTGGCTCAGCTGACCCTGGAACAGATCCTGGAGCATTTGGACAATCTGAGACTGAGTCTTAGCAACATGAAGAACAACTGTGAGCTCAGGCATTCGCTCAAAGAGTAAATTACCAGTCCCTGATCTGCTCAGGTCAATGACTCTCTTCATCTTTCTCTATCAGTTTTCACTCAGACTCCCATCCTTCAGGCTCTGCAGCACGTTCAGGCCAGCTGTGACGAAGCCCACAAGATGAGGTACAAAAACGGTCATTAATCTTCTCTCCATTTTTACTGTTGATGACAGATTGTTTGACACCGATGCCCCTCTGCAGGTTCAGCGATTTGTTCGCCCTCGCCGAGGAGTACGAGGACTCTCAGGCAAAGCCTCTGAAGTCTCGGAGAAAAGCTCCGGCCTCATCGCCTCGCTCCAGGAAAGGAGTAGCGCCACCAACCAACAACGAGGAGGAGAGCGTCTCCAGTAGTGCCTCGGTACGTATCCCTGCAACAAGAAAACAAAGACGTTAGCATTGACCTTAGCTGTTATTGAGTTTTACATCTAAACAAATTGCATAAATATATCCATCATTCATTTAACATGTGGTTATGATGTTCTTCATCAATTCAGCACAATATGGAGCCTCCTCTGCTGATAACTTTCAGAGCAGCTATTGTTTATTGTTAGTCAAGCACAATGACAGCAGGAGCTGTTATTAACAATTTCTCATTGGTCTGACGTACTGTTTCTGTTCTCTATTTTTTATTTATTTATTTTTTATTGGCTATTTTCCATAAAAATCAAAATTAAGTTTCATTTTAATAAACAAATCAGATGAAAAGGTCTCACCCTTGGTGAGGTCATTTATGTTTGATGATCTAATTTGTTGAATTTAGATTTGATTTTGATGATCTTGAACTATCGTTTTATTTTATTTTGTTTTATATCTGTTTAAATATCTGTTCACTTTTTTTTACTAAAGTTAAGTTGAAGGGAACCGCCTCTTATCTGGTTTTGTTTATATTTTTCTGCAGGAAGAGGAAGACTCAAAGCCCAAAGCACCGAAGAGGAAGCGGAAAGGCTCGTCTGCGGTCGGGTCGGACAGCGACTGATGAACCCTATGGCCAATCAGACGCCAAAAACGCCGACCAGCTGGGGCCCCCGGGGTGGGACTTTACATCCACGCAGCGGGCCGTCTTCTTCATGAAATCAATGTTGTTCCCATGGAGACGAGGAACGGCTGGTGGGGTGGGGTGGGGTGATCCTCCATGACGCTCTGCGAGGAGAAACCACAAACTCTTGATCCAAATGAACTAATTTTTAACAGTGGACATGATGAGACTGACCCCTGTACTTATTTTTTTCCTGGAGGGGGCGTGGACTCATGACTTCCTGCTGTTTTTAGCAGCTCCTTCCTGTTTGTCTTTCTGCAGTAAAAACTTTTCATCTGTTCCTTCATCTCAGATGAATTCTTCATATAAAACAAATGATGGTTTCAGGGTTTCATTTCTCTCATATTGGATAGTTCAGTTTGCAAACTGGGGGTTGCTTATAAGCACAACGGCATCGCAGTCATCATCACCACAATGTATTACTGTTGTGTAAAAGAAAACATCTCAATTGTGGTCCAACTTTTGTCCGAAGCTTCTGATCTTTTCTGACTTTTGGTTTAAAAAGAAAAACCATGAGAACAATGTAGATCAACAAAACTATATTTTTATTATCTGTGAATCTTTTACAGAGTTTGCATTTTTAGGATCTTTGAAATTAAATCTTGAAACGTTCCAAAGCCAAGTCAGAAAACAGAAGAAGTCTTCTGCCAGAGTTTTATTTTACAGCCATATGTCATTAAAATGCGTTATCCGGTTCAGACAGAGAGCTGTTTTTACAGGATGTGAAAAATAATAAATGAGCAAATGACGAACGGATGATGTTTGTAAAACATCTGTAGAAACATGTCTTTTGAACTACATTTCCCACATCAAATCTCATGGAGCATTATGTGTTGAAGTTAAATCTGCATCAGATATTTTTCATGTGAACAAGTCTCACTGAAATCAGCTGTTTCCTAGAAAGTTTCTGTGCTTTTTAAAATCATGTCCCTCTGAGTGGATTTTTTTTTTACTGTCAATCAAATGTTGACATCAGAGTTAACATAATAAAAATTAGTTTTTCAATTTAAATATATTTAAATATTCAACATCCTCAGCCTCATCCAGGCCTATTAACTATAATCACCAATCATGTGATAAAAAGATCTCAAAAAGCTTTGCATCATATCCAGATCTAAAGAAACCCCAAAACATGGGAAACTGGGTCACTGACATCTTCCGATCTGGATAGTTGACTTTTTTATTTATTTCTGAGGCTTTGGGACTCCAGAGAATCATGGTGAAAGAAAATATATACAAAAGAATTGGCCGACATGAGAAAAGTAATTCCCGAAGGTAGAGGAAAAAAATTACGCAGGCTTCACCTCATGTAAGATTAGATTAGATTAGATTCAACTTTATTGTCATTACACAGGTACAAGGCAACGAAATGCAGTTTAGGTCTAACCAGAAGTGCAATAGCAGCAAGTGCAGGATAAATAATGGTTCCATAAATACAGGACATGGGTTTCTACTGAATGAGTATAGAGATGAATACCATTATAAATAATGAATATAATATATAGATCACTAGTGTTATGAACTAAATTTACAGCTGGATATGTACCGAATCTAATATACAGGTGGATATTACTATAAAAAGGGTTTTTACAGTTATGTACAATAGCATATATATATATACAGATGGGTTTTACTATAAAATGAATAAAGTTTGGACAGGAGCTATCTAAATTAAAGTGCAGTGGAAGGTAATTGCATATTACAGTTAAAGTATGTTATTACAAATGTATATGTAAACAATTGCTACTGTGAATAAGCAGTCGGCAGTGCAAATCAATATTCAGTCAAAGTCAGTAAGTTATGCTGATTCTACATTAAATAACGGGCAAAAATTGCCTCTATGTGAGTGTTTGTACGTAAAAAAAAAACTGCTAGAAATCAGCCCAAAAGCTGGTCTAACATGCTAACATTGGTTAAAAACTATCCAGAAATAGATCTGATAAGATTGAACATGCCGTGGCAGTGTGAATGTCTGGATCTGCTTCAGGATCTGGATGTCTTACTCTAACTGATGAAATTATAAGTTCTGCTCTTTCCCTGCCACTAAGGAACACTTTGGTTGTGTCAATAAAAAAAAATCCAATACATCGCCACAATGTCCACTTCTCAGTGGCTAATAAAGGATTTGGATTTGCTCATTCAAAAAAAAAAATCAGTTACCAACTAACATAACCTTTTAAAAAAAAAAAAAGCTGATCTGGTTTGAAAACCTTCACAGATAACGGAAGTGAAAATTTTCTTCAAAGAAAAGCGACACTGGTGTAAAACTCACTGCCAAGGATGGTGAATCCAGTTGGTCGGGACAATTACTCAATTACATAAGGCCACGTTGTTTTAGATTAATTGTTTCCACCTCATTAATTAAAACGGGGAATTTGAAAATTATTTTTTCATATTAAACAAAAGGGAAATGGTAAAAGAAAAACATTACACAATTTTCTAGGTTTTGGCATCTGAAGTTGCTTTGTTCAGGAAGGAGACGAGGTTAAACAGAAAAACACAGATTTATTTCCAAGTAGGTTTGCACTTAAAAGGAATTTTACTTGGTGTTAATGGTGCAGGCAAACAAGATATATATACAGAATACAGAATCTATAGCTATATACCATATCAAACATACAATATACAATAGTATAAAGCTATATACTATATGCACAGTAGTCTCTGTGTTAATGTAATGCATGAGGTCTGGAGATGCTACATTTTGTGTAGCTTGTAGGTCCTGTGTGGGGTAAGAGGAGAGGAGGCGACAGTGTCACATGGTGGCCTTGTTGAAAAGGCTGGTAGTGGATGGGAAGAAAATGTTCTTGTGGCTTGAGGTCTTGCACTGGAAAAACGATCTAAAAATGAGTAAAATTTTCCTAAATTAAGTGTATTTAAGATAGTTTGCCAATGGAATTAGTATTTTTACTCTTAAAATAAGATAATTAGATCATATGCACTTGAAAAAAGACAATGCAATGTGTATTCTTATTTTAAGTATAAATTGTCTTGTTCCATTGGCAAAATGTCTCTTTTACCTCCTCAATCGTAGAACAAATGCACTTATTTTAAGAAAAAAATGACTTATGTAGATTTTGATTTTTTTCCAGTGTGGTCCTCATGGACCACAGCCTCCTGGCAGAGGGAAGTTTCTGAAATAGTTTGTGGCAGGGGTGCGAGGGATCAGTCACAATCTTCCTTGGTTACCTATGAGTCCTGGAGGCGTACAGATCCTGGAGAGATGGAATATTGCAGACAATCACCTTCTCTGCAGGCTGGATGACAGCTGCAGTCTGCCCTTGTCCTTGTTGATGGCTCCAGCGTACCGGATGGTGATGGAGGAGGTGAGGATGGACTCAATGATGCAGGGGTAGAAGTGCACTATAATTGTCCTTGGCAGGATAAAATCACCCCTCTATGTACAATTTCTACATAGAGGCAATTTCCTTTAAGCATCTTGGAAAGTATGCAACAGATTTGTTGTATTTTCCAAATTCTGATAAGTGTGGAAACTTACTTTACTCTGTTGAAAACTAGTATATCCTAAATCTGCTTGATAATACCCGTTTTACGTCAGTGGAATATTAATTTCCAAAATTATTTTTCAATTAAGAAATGATTTTTTTTTAAGTGATATTTTTGTCCTTAAAAAGACAACGTTTTTTTTTTTGTTTGTTTGTTTGTTAAACTTTCTTTTTAGGGAGATTTTAGCTCCTTCAACAGCAGATATTTCAGTCTGGAAAAAAAAATAATTTGAGCATTATAAGGTACAAAGGTTAGTGGAAAAAAAATATTCACTAAAGTCAAAAAACAAAACCTTTATTAAATTCAAATTATTCATGAGACTAATAGGTTAATAATAATTTTAATTTACATGGAAAGCAGCAGGGATGCTTTTTAACAAAGACGTCTTTTAGGTCCAGCATTTATCTATTTGAATGGGCTCATTTTGAAATAAAATCAGTTCAATATTAATGAAAAATAAAAACAAATATGTGCTTAAGACCCGGTTCTACATCCAAGACTTTTTTAAATGAACTGATGAAGGAATCAACTTGCTGAGTCCATTCAATGATTCAATCACCTCTCTATTATTGAAAGACCACTGATTGGCTCCAGCTGCAGCTGATTATAAAACAAACACCATACAGGACCAGTGGTGTTCCAGTGCTCTTCCAGTGTGCTCTGGCTGCTGCAGGTCTTTATTTGCTGATCTTTACAGGTATGTTTCTTTTTAACCCTCTTTTTCAGTTAAATCGAGTTGCTTAAGAAAAAAGAAAGAATGTTTCTCTGTCAAGGCATATTGCCACAAGATATTGACTATGTCTTAAGCACAGGGGCCATAATGGGGCCAGGACTAGTTCTACAGGGGAACTGGCCCCTAGTCTAGAACTGTTGATGTTTAGAGGAGTATATTGTGGGCTTTTTTTTTTTTTTCCTTAAAATCAAATTTCTTGGCATCTAAGGTTTTATGCACTGCAAAGACTTGCTGCTTCTTTTTTTAACACTAAGATTTGTGCTACACGTTAAGCTCAGCGGGAATGGTCTGTTGCTTCTCACTGAAAGTATAAACGAGATTCTTTAATACGATTATGAGATTCGTGTCTATGAAAATTTGTTTCTTAATGTCAGGTTGTGTATTTCTAAACTGGAACTGCTTTTTCTAATTGCCAATATGACTCTTAAACGCTCAGCAGGTTTATGAATGTCTTTCTGTCTCCAGCTCCCCTCATGTCTGCCATGAAATCTGCATCGTCCCTGCGGGCTCTGGTTCTGACTCCTGAGCGGATCCCGACCTTCATCATCCCCTCCATACGCAGCCCGTTCCTGGCCTCTCCGATGTTCCGCCGTCTCTCCACGGACCGCTCCGCGCTGCTGTCAGAGGAGGATGATGATGATGAGGAGCCCACAGGAGTTACTCTCCCTGTGACTCCATCCCAACCCGCCCCCTCGTCCAGGTGCCGCTTTCGCCTGCGCTCGCCGCGCTGCTGTCGTCCACGTCGCGCCGCCGATGACTCGGCAGACGCGGATCCGACAACCCGCGCAGCCATGTCACTGCCGCACGTGCCAAAGGTGACTACCCCTTATGGCTTCAGCGACGTATTGGCCACAACCCCATCCACCAGCCGGAGGGAGTCTCTGTTTCACCGGAACAGACCCGTGAAAGTGACTGTGAATGATGCTGATCCGCCAGGAGCCTCTCCTGCAGCCGATGGGCCCCAGAGTCCCGGTGGCTCCCGGGTCAGCTATGGACCCGTTAAAGCTTTAGGTCTGCAGATCATGAAGGAGCTGAAGAGG